ATCCTTAAGAGTGACAACTGGTAATATTAGGAATCTCTATTACATAATTTCTGATTTTTTTCTTAAAAGAGCCTGTTAAAAATAGTAAGTGTCCGTATTCCGGATTCTTACATATTTGAGGCTAGACTTTGGTCATAGAATTAAATTAGTGAATTTAGGTGATCTTTTCAACATAACTGCAGATCCTAGCTGCTTATAGCTTTGATTCCTATATCCAAAAGTAAAGCCATGTCACACAGTCTCTCAAAATTGTCCATTCACATGCTCACTAAATGAGCATAAAAAGTCTCAACTGAGTATTGTGTCCTTCTTTTGCCACATAAATAAAAAGCTGAATTAGACAAAGACCTTGTTCTCTAGAGGGCTTAAGTCTAGTAGGGGAAATAAGAAAAGATAGAGGAATTCTTAAAATATGCAGTGGGATGTATTCAGTGATTAAATTGAAGCACCAAGAAGAGTTTGGGAACTTAGGGGAAAGTTTCTCATTTATGTTAAAACTATCATATATGAGAAAAAGTGATTAAATTTTACCTGACTGATCTATGAATTGGCTTCAATAAATGATGTCCAGGTTTCTACAGATAGCCAAGGAGAGTGATCTGATAGCGTATCCAAGCCTTGGTATGTCTACTGACTTTTCTGCTGTTTCCCAGAAACTCAAAGCTACCAAGCTGTGTGAACTATCTCTTGTGCAATGTTACTTGCTGCAGCTTGAATTTTATGGGAGCTGGCATTAGATTACAGACTAAACCATAGAGCAGAAGGGCAGTTAAATATAGTACATCTGTCTTGGCTTCTAATAGACATTCCCTGATGGAAGTGATGGGCATTTGAAGGGGGAATAGCCACGTTCTTTCTGGGAGGGAAACAGGTTGTGCCAGATTCAATCTGACAATTCTTCAGTACACACTAAAACTTCCATCATTGTTTTATTTCAAAAATTTTACATAAGTCTCATCTTTTCAATGAAGAAACATACATGCAAGGAACTGAGATAAGTTTCTTAAACAAATCCCAAATAGGATTTATTGGATGAGAAAGCACAATTCTCAGTCTTATATTCTACTATGAATCAGTTTTGCTGGTGTTTCCATTAATTTAAATCACCTACCATCAACGATCAGATGACATAAATCTTTTAAACTTTGCTGAAAAACTTGTTCTATAATTATTGATCAGTTTACATTGTAAAATATAGGGTAAAATATCTGGTAATCCTTGCAGTTGTTGCAAACATCATGTCAGAGCTAACCCTGTTATTTTGATGTGTGTATTTGCCCACCTAGAAAGCTTCAATCTCAGGTGTGTTCCTCAGGTCCCCTGTAACAGGGAAGTTAACACGTTTTTGAGAGACTGTGGTAACCTGAAGACTGCTGCAGTGAAATTTTAAATTGCTCTCTATATACAATGAATAAAATAAGATTCAACTAACTCACTCAATGATTTCTTTTATGGTTATTCTTTCCTTAAAAAATGGACATGAAACATATTGGCAATGTTTGGGGAAGGGGTTTAATTTATACTTAATTCATTGAAATTTGGTATCACTCTGTTCCCTTTAAAATAAAAAGAATTTTTTTGCCAATAACAATTTTATGTGTTGGAATAGATATGAGATCTAATGTACATAGCCAATAAAAGACACATACAGCACACACACACAAAAGATACAGTTTAATAAATGTAGATGCACCTACAAATGGAGAAGAATGTACATCATAAAAATATATAGAAAAAGCTCCTTCAGCCAGACAGCACAAAATTATACTTAATGCACGTAGTGCCCACTTTCTGCAATCCACCCTATAGATTAAACAAGAAAAATGCAAATGACCAGAAGAAAAAGTAAAGGTTGTGGCACAAGAGGAGGATAGAAAATGCCCAAATCACCTCCCTCTAAATAACTTGTTTATATTTTTTCCTAATATATTACACAATAGTATCATTTTTTAAACACACACACACATATAATTGAGATAGAACCAAAAGCAAAATTAGCATGTATAAAAAGAAGAGGCAGTGTGTCCCTATCCTTGATGTTATCTGTTACTGTTCAATTACCTACCATTTTCTTCCTTCCCTTTTGCTTCAACTTAAACATTTCCAACTCAACAAGTATTTCTGAGTATGTGCTACATTAACCGGGGACTGGAATAGGGGCTAGGATTTTAGAAATGAAAAGAGTGCTCTTGTTCCCAAAGACCTTACAGGCAGATAAATGAGATGGCATTTGCCTCTTCACACTATAGTTAACAACACAAGATTTAATCCAGAATGGTCCATTAAACAGGAAGTGGAGATGGCTGTGAGAGTGTTCTACTGTGAGCTTATACCAAACACTATTCCTGGCCCAAGAGATGTGGAAGTAAGATAGGAAAGGTCTCTGGTCCAGTGGGAATTAAACTCAGGTGAAGAGAGAGTGACACCTAAAACTACATAGATGAACAGGTAATTTCTACTAGTGGAGACGTGGTAAATGAGTGGAACACGGTGAATGAAAATTATAGTGGTCAGTGAAGGTCACTTTCCCTGAAGAAATGTTTCCACAGAAACTTGAAAGAAGTAAAGTGAAGGGGCGTATGAAGATGTGGGAGAAGAGTTTTTGTAATGTGAAGTAGCAGAAATTGACAAGCAACTGAACTTGGATTATTGAAAGAATAGCAAGAAAGTCAGCAGGGGAGAGCCAAGTGAGCAAGGGGAAAAACAGAAGAAAATGAGATCAGAGAAGATAGAGGGAGCAAACTGTGCAGGATTTTGCCAGTCATGGCAAGGAGTTTGACTGCTATTCTCAGTAATTGACAATTCATTTTATGGGATGAGATAATATGAGCCTATTGACATATCAAATACATAGAATCCATAACCAAAACGAAGGATTCACTCTGTTTTTAGCATGTGGAAGTCTCTGTAGATTACTATTATGGATTCATTTCCTTTCTATACATACAGATGCTGTTCCAATTTCAATAAATAGAGCATTTTCCTCCCCTTAAATCTATGCTAAAAGTCTTAGCTTGCTAACAACACACAGAAACAGAAATGACTATCTGGGTCTTTTAATGGTAGATCACAAGATTTCTTACAGTCTTTGCCTGGATCTCTTGAGAAACTCTTTCACATGCCCCCTCCAAAATTCCAGCCACCACGTAGTTTAAACCCTAAACTACATGAGGATTCTGTGTGGAAAAGTGCAGCTAAACTCCCAGGAGATTGCCAAGTGTCAATTGCCAGGTATGACAGGACTATATGGTTAGCCCATCAAAGTTTGAAGTGAGTGTAGTCCCAGTGAAACTTCGGATGGCAGTTAAATTAGGGCACACAAGCAAGAACCTCATAGGTGAACCACGGAAATTTACAGAATGGTGGGACATAGTAGCAGATCATTGTTTAAATTTTGGGGTGGTTCACAGGAGTAATTGGCCAGAATATTTTCCCCTGGAGAAGTTCAGTCTTTTCCAACCATTCTACTATACCAAATATGGTATGTCCCAGGCATCATTTTTTTTTTCTTTTTAATCTTTGCTTTTTCCAAAATAGCTGAGATTTCCTTGTTAAATAACAGCAGGTGAAGTTCCTGCACATATTCTTGGCTCAGAATCATGAATAAGCCAACCATATAGTTCTAGGTGTCATGGGACAGAGCTCAACGATCTCTCAGAAGAGCCAAAAAGAAGCCCTATCAAACACATCTTCCACAGCTGACTCTGACAGTTCTTTCCCTCTTTTTGCAGTTTCAGGCATAGTCATTTATAGATTTTGTGGTTATTCTTATTTTTAATCAAGTAAATGAGATTTGTTTCATTAGAAGATGGTTGGTGGCTGCTTTCATGCATCACCATGTTTCTGTAGACAACCTGTATAGATACTCATGATTGCAAAACAATTTATTGATGAATTGATCACCACACGGTAAGCTGAGTTCCTCTTAACATTCCAAGATCATATGTAATTACATCATTTGTCATGCATATATTTATTTGGCAATAGTGTATACTAATAGTATATAATAATACATTAATTACTGCTTAAGTATTTGGTAACAATAACTGCAGTCATTATTTTGAATGAACAAAAGAAATGAAAAAAAGCTTATAGATAAGCATGGCTATAAATGTAGCTCTTTCCACATTCCTAAACATGGATAAAGACAGAATTATGTAGAACAGAACAAATAAATAAAACCTCTGATTTAACATAGCATTAAGATCTTTTCAGGGTTTTTTTGTTTGGTTTTTCAAGGCAGGGTCTCACTATGTAGTTGAAACTGATCTGGAACTCTATGTAGCCCAGGCTGGTCTTGAACTCACAGTGATCCCTGCCTCAGCTTGTAGTTGAAACTGATCTGGAACTCTATGTAGCCCAGGCTGGTCTTGAACTCACAGTGATCCTCCTGCCTCAGCCTCCCAAGTGCTGGGATGACAGGCGTGCACCACCACACCTGGCTACATTAAGATCTTTTCAGAGAAAAAGGAAAAAATAAAGTGGATATCCTCTAGAACAATTATGCCCATCAATTCCAAGAGGTAAAAAGCTTACACCAATATCAAACACTGCAAAGCCTTTTAACTAAGAGTTGCCGAGACTCAGTTTAAGTAAACAATTAGTGCCAGTAGTCTGTCGGCTCAGCAACCAAAATGGAAATCAGTCCTAATAAATTATTTTCTGTGATTTTTATAATCTTATACAAACTAATTCTTCATTGCCTAAATAGGTTGTTTATAAAAGTATGTTGATAGCTCTAAATAGATACAATTAACTTTCTATTTCCTGCTATAAAATTTGAACATTACAATAGTCTTGAGTCACCCATGGACTGAAGGGGAAAAACCATGTTAGTTATATGACTTCCTTTACACAGGGCATAAATGTAGCCTTTATATATTTCTGGCCATAACCACAATGAGACTAATCATATTCTGGTACCAAATTAAACTGAAGAATTAGAAATTTCCTTTTATTTTAAGGCATTACAGATTTGGATGCAACAAATTATCCAGCGTCAGTCTTCTCTGAGGGCTTGTTCTTGGGAGAACTCAGTCTGGGGAAGGGGTTGCTATGTATGGTAGCACTCTGCTTTTGCTTCATATGCTGCTGTTGGTAACTACTGAAGTTTCTTTTGCGTTATTTTTCCTAATGATGAAAACAGGTGAAATTAATGAATACTGTAAATTTAAATAACATTACACCATTAGTCATAAATATCTCAGTAGTAAAGAAGCACACTTCCATTGATATTTTAAATAATCAAGAAGCTGCTCATGCTACATTTTTACTGGACTAATTTATCACTTTGAGATTGACTCACACATAGTGCCTTGTCGATCAGTTTCATTTGGCTGGAAGATATACAGTGTTTCGTTTTGCATAACTGTTATTCTTACAAAGTAATCTATTTAGGAAGGAGGTAGCTGGAGTGAGGAGTAAGGAAATAGTTAACCTAATTACAATATATTTTTTTCTTTTTAATAATTTATATGTCTTGCATTGCAATGTCCTTTTTATAAAGAAAATGTGGACTCTTTCTTCGTCAGAACAAAGTAAATGAAAATGCTAATTGATTTCAAATGAAATTATTCGGGTTAAGTCTTACTTTTTTATATTTATAGCAGCAGAATTCTATTCACACATTTAATGTCCATACTTAGGCTTTCTAAGAAGACTGGGTAATGGGCGTTCTCAAAGGAAAAGCAGGAACCTTTATTTCCCTGAAGCATGTGTCTCTGCCTTAACCCCTCTCCACTAGCGCGCACCTCAGGGAAGGGCATGCTAGCTGTCAGCATCTGCTTAGAGGTAACTCTCTCCCCAGGAGACCTCCCCTGAATTGAGGATTTTACATCTCACCTCCCAGAGTTCGTTGATTGCCTATCTCTAATATTGAGCTCACCTGATACAATTTATATATCTTTTCCTCAGTGTCATCTTTTCTAGGACCAAAAAAGAGGAAAACCATATAAAAAGATTATGACTCTTCAAAGGTGGAAATCATATCTTATTTCTATTTTTTTCCTCTAATCCATCAATTACTGCTGATGCATGTTTTGTGTAGATACTCAGTAATATTGGCAGATAAAAAATGAAAGGGCTTTTCTGGGCACTGTAAGGAATGTGAATCTTATTCTCAGAATAATTGAAAGCATTCAATTATATAAAATGGGTATCATTTTGTAAGAAGAGGGCGTCCTCTCCTTCCGATATTATGGATACTTTTTTGAAAATACTGAAGTTTAGGGCCTGGGATTTAGCTCAGCGGTTCGGTGGCCTGCCTTGCAAGTGCAAGGACCCGAGTTCAATCCCCAGTACCAAAAAAAAAAAAAAAAGAAAAGAAAATACTGAAGTTTCTAACCATTCAATCCCAAAATTGGAACATTTCTGTTCTGTATTTACTAACCTGAGTCTATAAATTCAAGAGCTTTGAGAGTGCAAAAGCATAAAATATATAAGAATCATCCCTTCCTAAACCCGAGGGAACACAATATTCTTAAATAGATAAATAGTAATTGGATTTTCTTGATGGCTGTATATAAACTGTGTATAATTACTTAAAATAAGGAATGGTGTTAATTGGTTTGTGTTATTAATAGTTATTTTAATTACATAACATTATGGACTAGAGTATGATAATTTAAAACATGCATACAGTGAGAAAATCATGGTAGTTAACATTTCTGTCTCCTTAAACACTGTTTTTAAATTTGTCAGTAACATAAGCATACAGGCACATTGGGTAAAGTGTAAAATTTCAGTCACATATACAATATATGCTGATCACCTCACGCCTCAGAGGTCTGCACAACTTTAATTTCCAGGTTATTTCTTTCTCACTGTTTATATTTCACCTGGAATTATACTTCTTGTGGAAAGCTTATAATGATAAGACCAAATATACTGATGTGGTAAATTCCTCTTTTTAAATATTCTTATCAGGCTGTTTCATTTATTTATTTATTTATTTATTTTCTTTTTTTTATATTAGTACATGTTTGCAAGGCATAAAGTTTAAAATTTTCCTAGTGGGTAAGCACATGTACTTCACATACCTTAATATTTTTATTCCTCTCCTTTACTACCCTGTGCCTCTGGAGCTCCTTTCCATTTGCAAAAGATCTACCTCCATTTCCTATTGTTTATATTTTTAAAAAATTATTTAGACTTTGAGTTTCTCATATAAGGGAAGTGATATAATATTTAAGCTTATGTGCCTGATTCATTTCACTTAACTTAAGGTGTGCCTATTTTCCTACAAATTTGTAATTCTATATTGGCAGAGTAGTACTGCTTTGTGTATGAATACATTTTCTCAATCCATTCATGTGTTGATGGATATGTTGCCTGCTTCTAACTTTTACCTATCATAAGTTGTGCTGCTATACACATAAGTATGCATACATTAGTGTAGCTTTACATTCTTAATTAACTCTTTGGAAAACTACCAAGAAAGTTAATAGCTAGGTCAAGGAGTTTTATATTTAAAAAGCAAACACTAACTAACTTCAAGTATATTTGCTCATTTAATTGTTTTATTACCTTATAATTCCATATCCTATTTTACAGGTGATGTAATGGGAAATGAGGTAATTTGCCCACAACTAATAATGAGAAGTTAGTATTCAAACTGAGACAGACTGATTCTTAGCCTGTTCTCTTAATGTTTATACTGTTACTAAATGGAACTTTACTTGTATGTCTTCTCTACTAGATTAAGAATTCCTCAAACACAGAAGGTATGCCTTATGTTTCTCCAGCTTCTATATTCCTGGCAAACTTATTAATCCACAATAGATGTTCAATTAACTGTGATTAAAATCCTCTAATAAATCCATAAGATATTGACCCTGCCAAAGACTAAAAGTGAAATAGAAGTCACAGAAGAAGGATCTAATTGAGTCACCCCACTAGAGTCCATTACGACTACCTAGTTATATAGCCTACAGTGTCCTCATAGAGAGTTTTAATTTCTATGTTAAGCTTAAAAATAGCAACATGTAATTAAAAAATGTAAGAATTATTTGTATTTGACCTCTGTTGACATAGGTATGAGTCAAGGTAATTTATTCTTTCTGTCTCTGTGGGTATCTCTTTGTGGAAAGAAGCATTAGTTTTACTTCATGTGGTGAGGGACAGCGATGCATCTACTGATCAAAGTGCTAGTAGTGCTTTGCACTCTGAAGCCTTGGAACATCATTCCTTCCTCTGGATGTTCCAGGACATCACCGCTAAGTACCAAACAATAATAGAAGACAGTTCATACAACACCGACTTTACCCATGTTTGATCATTCTTTGAGTGTATGCCTCATCCATCTAATAGTTTGAGTAGTTTGAGTCAGTGCAGTATTTCTGCACCATTTGTTCATATAGAAATCAACAGACATATCATAATTCCATAACCTGAGCCTTTCATGTGGGTCATTTCACTTGGTCAGCCAAGAGAAAAGTGGGTGGAGAGGTGACAGGGAAGACTTCTAGGGGCCAGCTACCAAATGTCACACATCACTGCCATCTGATAACCATCTTGAGAACAAGTAGACTAATGGTGAGGATATGTAGGAGAAAACATACTTCCTCAAGACCCTAAAATCTCGGCCACATTTACACAAGAAAGTAAAAGTACCATTAATTAAATCTCTTCAATACCAGTGTACCTTTCCAGCTCCTACCTGATCCACCTCTGTACTTTTCCAACATACATTTCATCAGACTGTTCATGGTATATTCAATGATCCAAATCAGTTTTTTCACCTAAAACCCTGTAAGGCAAAGCACAATACAACTTCTCTCAAAAAGTTTCTTTTCATGATTTCTCTCAGAAGGAGAAAAATAAAAGGGCTAGAAAACTTCATCTACCTTAGATCATCTAAGATGAAAGGACAAGTTAACAGAAGAGGAGGCCCCAACAAAGCTTAGCTCAAAATTGTCTTTGTAAAAAAGAAGAAAGCAAGGCCCAGAGAGATGAAGGAACTGCCCATGGCTAAAATCAAACCTAGTGAATTCCATTCTTAAATTTCTTTCCAAACCTTTGTGTTGTCTTCTCTTGCTAGGGGGCCCATCCTATAGGGCAATTTTACTCATTTGGTTTTCAGAATTTCTCAAATTAATACAAATTGTGTATTAAATATAACAATGTTTTAAGGTTTATAAAAGTACTACCAATAAAAATTTCCTTTATGGACTGATGGATTAAAACATTTTTTGTATCTGCCTCATGGTGTTGTAAGTTTTGAATATCACTTAGTATTTACTGGTGATTGCTCAAATTTCAGTGAGAATGAAAAAAATATATAAATGTACATATATATGCACTCTCTATATAGTCTTTCTTCTCAGCAATTGAGTCTAGTGATAATTGTTTTTGTGCATTAGTCATAATGACTTTTTAAGCAGCAAAGCCTATCACTGTTATACTGAGTTTCAGATGCCCCACAGATTTGAGTAATTTGGGGTAATGCAGCTGTATGTGGTAAAAATATTTTACAATGCCTGTAAAATGTTGCCTCATGATATGTCAAGCAGTGAATCTGTGGCAGTATATAGCAATTTCAGTGCTTTTCATTAAATACCAGATACCATTTACATTATGCAGTTTTTAAACAAAAGCTAACTCTGAACAAAGGAGTGTTCAAGATTCAGGCAGTTGGGAGTCCAAATGGGAGGCACAGTCTTTCCAGAAACAAACATAATGATGACAACTACAATGACCACAACACACACATATAGAAAACTCTACATGAGAAAATTGCATACACAACATGGCCCTTAGCTTGTTTTAGGGTGTGTTAGTGTTTCTTCCAATTTCTCTCATCTCTCGACAAAAGATTAGAAGAGCTAAACTGGAGTGAAGAGCTTGACTAATACATACTTTTTCATTAAAACAGAATAAGAGAAGAATAGATTAGCCACAGTAGCCTCTATGTAATTTCTTTTTGGTATTTCTAATTACCTTTCTCGGCTTCAACTACCTTTGTGATGATTGTTGTTATTGCAAGTTAACAGACACAATAATTAAATCAAGCATTTGTTCATTCAAAAAAATTACACATACATACTTCGCTCCATTATGTTTCTGGAAAAATGAATAGAAGTTCAGGATAAAAGATAGGTATGAGAAAACAGGAGGGATTTTTAAAAATGTCTTCTGTCCTCAAAGGTCAGCTGTAAGTCAGAATACTTAGCTTTATCTCTAAATTCAAGGCCCAAATGAACATTTTCCTTGGATATTACCTCACTAAAAGTCATTGAATTCTTTTAAACTTAAATTCATCATTTTAGTCTATGGGTAAGGGAAATTATTGTATTCTATAACAGCAAAGACCTTGCTTTTTGTATTATTATCTAAGCCAAGAAAAAAAAAAAGATTGGATTCGTATCTTTCCATTTGTTAAGTTTTGTCAAACAGCACAGCCTAAGCACATTCTTTCATTTTTTTCCTATTAAGTTTATTTGTACACTTTAGGTATACAATATAATGACATTCAACTTTAGAAATATGTACTTTTACATAATCTATCTTGGTCCCCCCCCCAATATCCTACTCTCCCTTCAACCCCTCCACTCCTTCCTATTTAAAAAGATTTGGTTTCTTTCTTTCTTTTTTTTTTTTTTCATTTTTCTCATATTAATTCCATTCCCTTCTCCAAAGCATTCAACTTCCCCTTTGGACCTTTTTTTTTCTATTTCAGATTATCAATTATACAATTTTGAACCTTATTTATATGTTTAGCAACTCACACCAGAGAAACTGTTTGGAATTTACATGTGTCTCCTATTATTTCACTTGAGACTATGGCCTCAATGTGCATCCTTTTACCTATAAATGTCTATAGTTTCTCATTCTTTATGGCTCAGTTACACTCCGTTTTATAAAAACAAACAAGCAAGAAAAGTATATCTTTATCCAGTCTCCAGTTGATAGGCATTTGGGCTGCTCCCAAGTTTTAACTATTAAAAATTATGCCCTATAAACATGGGTGTGCATATTATCACTGTGATATGATTCCTTTGATTCTTTTAGAAAGATACCCAACAGAGGAATAGCAGAGTCAAATGGGACCTCTAATCCTAGTTTTTCTGAGATATCTTGATATTGATTTCCACAGTGGTTGCACCAATCTGAACACCCACCAACCATTGAGAAGAGTTCCTTACTCTCCACACCCCCACCAGCATTTGTTATTGGTTGATTTTTTTTTTATAGCAGCCATTCTTTAAGGGTGAGGTGGAATCTGTGTCATTTTCATATGTATTTCTTGAATGACCAGTTATGTTGAATATTTTTTCATATGTTTACATGCTATTTCTACTTCTTTGTCTGAGAAATTTATGTTAATTTCAGATGTCCATTTTTGAATTGGGTTTTTATATCAGGGGTGTGTGATTTTTTTTTAATTCTTTATATATTCTAGATAATAGTTCTTTGAGGAGCAGCTGGTAATTTTTTTTTCCCACATCATAGGTTGTCTCTTCTGTTGATGGTTTCTTTTGAAGTGCAGAAGCTTTTTAATAAGATGAGATCCCAACTTGTTGATTTTTTTGTCCTAGTTCCTATGCTACTGAGGATTTGTTTATAGTCCTTTCCTATGCCAATGTCATTCAGGGTTCTACCTAATTTATCTTCCATCAACTTTAGTTTTTCTATTTAATATTTAGATCTTTAATCTGCTTGGATTTTAGTTTAGTGCATGGTGAAATGTGGGGGTCTAGTTTTAATCTTTGGAATGTTGAAATCCAGTTTTTCCAGTACCATTTATTAGAGAAGCTATCTTTCCTCCATTGAGGATGGTTGGTTCCTTTATCAAAGATGAGGTAGCTGAGTGCATTTGAATTGTTTCTGCATCTTCTAATCTGTTCCACTGATTCTCAGGTCTGTTTCTTTGCCAGTAACATGATGTTTTTATCACAGTGGCTTTGGGGATTGTGCTACCCCTTGTGCCTGGAATTGCTTTTGCTATTCTATGTCTCTTGTTCTAAATGAATTTTTGGGTGTTTTCTCTAGTTCTGGTAAATATACTGTTGGGATTTCAATCGGGTTTGCATTGAATCTGTACAGGAGTTTTGGAAGTATGGCCATTTTCACTATATTGGTTCTTTTTATCCAACAACAAGCGATGTCTTTCCATTTTCTTTTCTTCTTCTTCTTCTTTCTTCTTCTTCCTCTTCTTCTTCTTGTTCTCCTCCTCCTTCTCCTCCTCCCCCCTCCTCCTTCTCCTCCTTCTCCTCCTCCTCCTTCTTCTTCTTCTTCTTTTTCTTCTTCTTCTTCTCTCATTGAGTTTATCAGTACATTTTAGGTATACAGTACAGGTACATTTATCATTGGGATCTTGTACCTTTACATGACAGGCCTCGGTTCTCATTTTTTCCCATTCTCCTTTCTCTCCCTTCACCCCCTCCTACCCTCCCCATTTACAAACATTTTATATACATTTTCTCATATTTTTTTATTTTCCCTTATTACCTTTCACCTACCCTTCCCACCTTCCCAACACCTTTAGCCTTTTTCTTCCTATTTCAAATTGTTAATGAACAAAGAGGATATAAGAAAATGGAAAGATATCCCCTGCTCTGGGTAAGAAGAATCAATATAGTGAAAATGGCCAAACTCCCAAAACTGCTATAAAGATTCAATGCAATGCCAATTGAAATTCCAACACTATATTTCACAGAACTATAAAAAATAATCCATTTTCTTATATACTCTTCATTCTCTTTTTTCAGAATATTGCAGTTTTCAATGTAGATGGCTTTACCGTCCTTCATTAGACTGATTCCTAAATATTTCATTTTTTGGATGCTATTGTGAAAGGAATTTTTTCTAATTTATCTCTCAGTGAGTCTGTTATTTGTGTACAAGAAGGCTACTGATTTTTGTAAGTTGACCTTGTATCCAGTTACTCCACTGAATCTGTCAATTAAGTCTAGAAGTGTTTTAGCATAATTCTTAGGGTCTTGTATGAAGAATATCATATCATTAGCAAATAATGACAGTTTAACTTCTTTCTTTTCTATCTTTATTCCTTTTACTTCTATCTTGTCTAATTGCTGTGGCTCATGTTTCCAAAACTATATTGAACAGGAGTGGTGATACTGGATAGCCTTGTTCCATTCCTAATTTTAGCATGAAGGTTTTCAGTTTTTGATCACTTAGTATGATGTTGACTGCTGGTTTTTCACAGCTAGACTTTATCAGGTTGAGATACTTTATCAGGTTGAGATAAAGATCATCTATTCCAATTTTCTGTAGTGTTTATGAATGGGTGAATTTTGTTGAATGGTTTTTCTGCATCTATTGAAATGATCACATGTTTTTATCTTTGGTACTATTAAAATATTACATTTATTGATTTATGTATGTTGAACCACGCTTGAATCCCTGGGATAAATCTGACTTGGTCAGGGTGTATGATTTTCTTGATGACCCTCTGTAGTCAGTTTGCCAATATCTTATTGAGGATTTCTACATCTATGTTCATTAGGGAGATTAGCCTATGCTTCTCATTTTTGGTTGGGACTTTCTCCATGTTTAGAATCCAAGTAACACTTTTTTCCAGGAATGAATTTGGAAGTATTGCTTCCCTTTTAATTTCACTGAAGAGTGTAAATGACAGTGGCAATAGTTTTTCTCTAAATGTCTTGTAGAACTCAGGGGTAAAGCCATCAGGACCTGGGCTTTTCTTTGTTGGTAATTTTTTACTTACGGTTTCTATTCCATTGATTGTAATTGGGGCATTTAGAATTTTTATGTTTTCTTCACTCAACTTTGCAAATTCATATGTATCTAGAAATCTGTCAATTTCATCTGTGGTTTCCATGTTATTTGAGTACAGGTTCATAAAGTTAAGTATTGATGATTCTCTGGATTTCTGTTGGATCTGTTGTGACTTCACTTTTTTCATTCCTAGTTGCATGGATTTGAGTCCTTTATTTTTCCTTTTTTTAAAATAAGGTTGGCTAAGGGTTTATTTATTTTATTTGTTCTTTCTAAAATTCATCTCTTTAATTCATTGATTTTTTGTATCATTCTCTTAGTCTCCACTGCACAGATTTCTGCTCTGATCTTTATAATTTCCTCCCTGTACAAGATTTGGGTCTGTCTTGCTCTTAGTTTTCTAGAAGCTTGTGGTTCAGCATTAGGTTCTTTATTTGAGCTTGCTTTGTCTTCCTAGAGTGGGCATTTACTACTATGAATTTCTCTTGTAGAACTACTTTCATTGTGTCCCATATAGTCCTATATGTTGTATTACCATTAGCATTAAAATTTAAAAACTGTCTAATGTTTTCCTTAATTTCTGCTGTGATCCATTGGTTGTTAAAGAGAATGTTATACAATTTCTATGTGTTTAAGGATTTCTTGTGGTCTTATGCTATTGATGTCAATTTAATTGCACTATGGTCTGATAATATACAGGGGGAAACTTCAATTCCTTTGCATTTACTTGAGCCTGTTTTATGAGCTAGCATGTGGTCTACTTTGGAGAATGATGCATGTGCAGCCAAATAGAAAGTACATTCTGATTTTTGTGGGGTGGAACACTCTGCAGACATCTATTAAGCCCATTTGTTCAAAAGCTTGGTTCAGTTCTAGTATTGTGTTGTTGATTTTTTGTTTAGATCATCTGTCTATTTGTGATAGTGGTATATTGAGGTCCCCCACTACAATTGTATTAGTGTTTATTTAGTTTTTCATATCCATTAATATTTGTTTTTATACAGGTGTTTATTAGTATATGGTGAATATATATTTATGATTGTCATCTCTTCTTCTTGGATTGTTCCCTTTATAGGGATTTCGTGATCTTCTTTGACTCTTAATTTGTTATGGTTTGAAATCCACTTTTTCTGCAAATAGATAGCTACTCCTGCTTTTTTCCAGGTTCCTGTAGCATGGAGAATTATTTTCTACACTTTAACTTTCAGTCTATGAATTTCTTTTTTAGCTAGGTACCTTCTTGTATACAACATATTTTTAAATTTTGCTTCTTAATCCATTCTGCCAGTCTATTCCTCTTATGGGTGAAATGAAGCCATTAACATCAATAGTTATAACTGTTACATATTGACTTATCACTGTCATGTTATTATCTTGTTGTTGTATCTTTTATTTTTATTTTTCCCATTTTCACATTAATTTCTTGCCTTGCTTGATAGATATGCTCTGTTGGGCCTCATGGAATTGCGACCTTCATTGTCTTTTTCTAGGACATTGTTTAGAATTGTTTGGAGTGCTGGTTTAGTGCTCATTAAGTTTCTCAGATATTCTTTGTCATGGAAGTATCTTATTTCTCCATCAATTTTTAAAGAAGCTGAAGTTTAGGTTTCCTTTGTTTTGTTTTGTTTTTTGTTTTTTTTTGGGGGGGGTGGGGGCTTAAAATACCTCACTCCAGGCTCTCCTTGACTTGAGAGTATGTGTTGAAAAGTCTGCTGAGATTCTGACTGGCTTTCCTTTGTATGTAATTTGTTTTTTGTTTTTTTTGTTTGTTTGTTTGTTTGTTTGTTTTTCTAACTGTGTTGTAGTATTTTGTTCTTTTGGGCTTCCTGGCAATGGGGAAGAATGCAACAAAAAGAAAAAGTCATGACAAGGAAAAGTCAATATATATCAGTTAAAACCATCAATGTTAATGGTCTCAATCCACCAATCAAAACAAATACATTGGTAGAATGGTTCAAGAAGCAAGATCCAACAATATGCTACATAGAAGAAATGCACTTAAAAAAGAAACTCATAGACTGAAAGTTAAAGCATGGAAAACAGTACTCCATGTGACAGGAACCTGAAGAAAAGCAGGAGTAGCTATCCTCTTTGCATATCAAGTGGATCTTTATTATTATATGTCTTGGTGTAGATTTTTTTTTTAAATTATGGCTAGTTTGTGTCTTATATGCCTCACTTATCTATATGTCAATTTCTTTTGCTCTGTTTGGGAAGTTTTCTGTCATTAATTCTGTGAACTATTTTTTTATGTCACTTGTGCTTTATTCCTGTTTTTCCATGGACTCCTATCTTAAATTATTGTCTTATTCCCTGTCTTATATTATTCTTCTTTGCATCATCTAGGATCTGTTGGATTGATTTCTCATGGTCACTTACTATTTTTAAGAGATCTCTCTTATCATGGTCACTGGCCACCATAAGCTCTTCTATACCTGATATTCTGTCTTCATATTTCCTCACTGTGCTGCAAATACTTTCAATAGAATTTTTAATCTCCTGGGTATCTGTTTGATTCTATTTCATGGATTCTATGTCTTTCCTATGTTGGACATTCATGGTTTCTATTTCTTTGCTATGCTGGGCATTCATGGCTTCCATCATGGTCCTGAGATTATCTATTTTTTTTTCTGTTTCTGTTCTGGAGTTTCTAATCATGTCTTGTATTATGCTCAGCATCTCTGCAGTTATCTGGAAATTATTTCTGCTTTGAATTTTTCTAGAGACTCATTCATCTGTTTTATTACTTTCTGTGCTATCAGTTTCAAGTGTCCCAGTGGTTGATTATCAGACTTTTCCACCTCTATTCCCTCAGAATTTGCCTTTGGTGAGCTGGAAAGCCTGGGCTTGCACCTTGCATAGGTGTCTTCTCATTTTTATTTATGTTGTTGGTACTGTTTTTGCTTTAACTCCTGGGTCAATAACTTATCATTGCTTATTGTAAATATTGTATTTAGAGCCCTTATGGAATGATTGCTTCTCAGACATGTCTTCCAGATATACCTGGTCTTTAAGTTGTGAGTCTCTAATAACTCTTAGGCAATCTTTTTTTCAGTATACCAGGAAGGACAACTGATTAGATCAATCAACACCTTAGCACAAATGATACAATCAGCAAAAAACTAGCATCAAGCATAGCTTAGAAAATGACAATTTGTGGTAATTATTAATCTATTATCTTTACCTGTGTGAATTAAATCAAAATCAAGTAACAGCCCAAAATATGTTTATAGTGAAAAATCTCATCATCAATATAGAAACTTTAACCTTCAGGATGGGGACTTACAAGGAGTTGAGGAGGGAGAGATAGGTATATAGAAGGATAGGGAAAGACTAGAAGTGAGGACAGAGGACACAGGAAGATCACACAAGCTCTAGGAAACTGTTGAAGACAAGAGGAAAAGACAGAAAAAGAGAACAAAGAAAAGAATAGAACGAACTAGCAGCAATAGGGAAGCTAGAAACTGTATTCATGTTAAAACTCATGACAATTGAGAGAAGAAAAAGAAGAAAAGAAAAAATAAATTTTAATTAGGATAGGAATAGGAAAAAGGGGAGAGAGGTAAATAACAATGTGGGTGAGATATAGAGCAAGAAAGTGGGATAGACAAAGAAAAGTAAAAATAAAAAGAAGAAAGCAAAAAGAAAAATTTGGAAAAAAATTAAAGAAAAAATAATTTTGGAAATAAAAAATAAAAATGAAGGGACTCCTTTAGGGTATGTCTCTGCTGTCATAAAAGATAATGTGGGCAGTAGGGTGAAGATCTAAGTCAACTGGTCTCAGAAAGCCAGCAGCAGTCCTCTGAGATGCAGGCTGATTTTTGGCTGCAAAGCCCTAGGTGAGCTCCCTGACTTCCTACTGGATTGAACTCTGCAATGTTCTACTGGAGGTTCCAATTTCCCTTCCCTTGAAGATAGTCCAGATTCAAATGGGAGGTGATGATCTCTCTAACTTACCAACTACAGTGGTCTGGTGTGCCTTTATTGCAGAGATTTTCTTCACTTTTCCAGTGGGTTTCAATTTTCATTAAGATGCTTCAGAGGGCCCCTCATTCTGTTGTTCATTTCTACTCTATTGGCTGGAGCTCAGCTCCTTCAAGGCAGGGGTGGGATGGAGGGTTGAGAATAGATTTCTGGCAATGCTCCAGATGGGTAGTCCTCCCCAACACATCCTTTCTTGAATAACATGTCATTGCTCAGTGCCTGCTGCCTGCAATATCTCTTCTTTTCTAATTCACTCAGTATTCTTTACCCTGCAATGTGCTTCCCAAGCATTGTGACATCATTATAAAGGGTTTACAGACACTTAGAATTCACAGCCTCCATCTTCTTAAGCTTCTTTTCTCAGCTGTGCTGATGACTGAGTATCATTGTGATACTAAGTTCAAGTCCAGGCTCTGGTTGTTAGCACCAACACAGTGAAAGATAACCAGCTTTGGCATTACCATCTTTTCATCTGTGTATAAGGATAAGAATTCCAAACTCTAAAAGTAGAATATATTTTAAAGTCATTTAACAGTGTAGACCCTGCACAAGTGTAAAATTTTCCTCACAGTCACTGATTCAACCCAATACATACTAGTAGATTAATATGTTGATTGATTTTTAAACAAGATTCCCAAATCTACTATGATACTAGAAGTTTACTGGCAAATGTTTGCTTTCATGTTGGAGAATAAGCCTTTGAAACAGATTCCTTTGCTCTCTAAATGATGTATTGCACAATATTTTGAAAAGTTTATATTCTTCGTTAGTCCTGATACAGCTCTCTACTTGTTTGCCCCAGAGTCTAGTATTGTATCCAATACTCCTAATGCAGAAATTTTGTCTTGAAACACACAGCATATTACAAAGAGCCTTGAGCTCATTACATTTTTCATGCATTTGGCCAGAATTTATTGAATATATATGTAGGTTTAAGCAATCCTATGATGTTTGTCTGGTGTAGTAAGAAGCCCTAGAAATGCAAATGCACAGGCTAATTGAATGTATGGTATCTGTCATCAAGGAACATTCAGTCCAGTAAGGGAAACATAAACTGTCTGCTTGGATTCCAGAGACCCACTTATGTTCTTTACTTTGTATCCCTGTGAAACTCACCTTAACTCTGAATCAAAATGTTCTTGACTGTTAAATATGATTACTTCGTAGAAATACTTTGATAATTATTTATGTTATTTGTGTGTCTGACACACAGTAAACAACAAATGCACAACTATTTTTCTTCCTACTCAAATCCATGTAAGTTAAATCCAATTGCACAAATAGATGAATGTCATAGTTTGGAGGAAGAGTGTGAATAAAAGTTGTAGATTTCATCCTAAGAAGAAAAACTTTTACACTTTGTTCATGAGGTCAGCAGTGAGATAATGTTTATGATCTATTTACTAAAATTAAGTCTCTGGAGCCTTATAAGCATTATCTTTAGTCCTGATAACAACCTCAGCATACAGATAATATCCATGTTTTCTCAGGTGATAGAGAGTAGGAGAGCATGGCCTTGGGATGGAGGCAGGCTGCTTTAGTGGGAATCCCAGGTAGGCACTCATTTGCTATTGGGCTGACCTTGGGCAAGTTTGTATCTTCCTTTAATCTTACTTAATCTTACTTTCCCAGCTGTAAAATGAAAATAATAATCCTTTCTTCCATATAATGTGTTAATAAATTATCACTTGTTATTAGGAAGCTCAGGTCAGCTTTCTTTTTGTGAAGACAGACAATAAAATCATAAACACATTGCAAGGAATTTTAGAGAGGGAAAATTGATATGAAGAAAAAACAAAAAGTGACTAGGTGGAGGATGACATTTTCTGTTATTTCTGTTTAGAATTAAGTCGAGCTGTCTCTGTCTCCAAAACCTGTATTCTTTCCTCTACCATAATACTGTGCTATTATTTATAGGAGTCTGACTTAAGCTTCCTAACAACACACTAGCAATTTTCCATCCATAGGTGAGTATACTTTTACTTTTTCCACTGCAGACTAACTTGAATTTTTTTCTTAAAGAAAAGAAGTAAAGTGTGTGTATCATGATTGGATAGTTCATCAAGACCCACATATCTGGTTGACATTAAAAACTACAGCTGATATTCATTTTTTCAAATTCCAAAGGTTTGAAAAGGAATTTTCTAAGCAATGCTTGCATTTATTGCAAGTATTTTTTATTTAATCTTTTATATGAAGTAGAGCAGTCTGATAATATAGTGATGTTGTTCTACAGATAATTAGAAGAGAAAAGCCTCCTTCTGCCCAAATGATCTATGTAAACCAATAAATGTCACTTTGAGGCCTGGATAATTATCTAAACCCTTTTAACTCTGCTCTTCTGAGCTCATGGTAGATGTGGGGATAGCAATATCCTTCTAAAACTGCTTTTAATTTCCCAATGTATTACTTTGTTGGAAGCCATGTAAAGCCACCAACCTCAACAATTGGAATTAGAAGCACTAAGGCTATGATATACCAATTTAAATCTTTGGAATCATGTTTTGTTTTTATTTTTCTCTCCTTTCAAAATCCTTTTGAATGTTTTCAAAATAAGGTCCAGGTGTTTACTGCAGTATCTCAGGTGACTAGATAGCACCTGGCCCAGAAGTGGGTATTCACTGTAAGTTCAGTGACACTATAACCAAAATAAGGGTGGTCAAAACTATTTAGCTCTCACTAGATTTGGCTAAGTGGGTTTCTTGACAAACAGAAGCTGGACCTCTTGTATCTCATGTGAGCATGACTGCTCATCTTGGATTAATTATCTAATAAGAAGGTACAAAAATGTGACAATATTAATCATGCCGTAACTCTCTAAGTCATTTAATTGGAATGCAAATCAACTCAGGAGCAGACTTCCAGCCTACTTTTTAGAGTTCAGGGTTAGTGGAAATACCACTGTGCCCAGTGCTACAATTCAGGTCACCACCTACCAACTCCCTAGCCTTGAATTTTGTTAGCTATGTATTGTAAATGGCAGTGCTGTGGTGGTATTAAGGGAAACAATGATGTGTGCTAATGCTGTCAACACCTTGGCAATATCTGCCTTTCTTCAATTACTTTTGTTTACAAATTACTCCTAATTTTGTTCTTAAAAGCTAGTTAAGAACAAATGCAGCTAGGATTGATGGGACACTAACTGCATGATTAAGTAATTACGTTTTTAAAGCTTGCCTTACACTAGGACTAATGATATGTCACCAAGAGCAGAAACCCCAGATAATGAATGAGGAATGTTTATTTGTACTTAGTTCTTTTAAATCTCCCTTCACGCTAGAGCTGGTGCCATGCATGAGGTACTGGGACAAAGAAAATGAGTAAAAATGCAGCCTCTCCTGCTTTTGTGTGGAACCACAAGCTCCCCAAAATCAATCCTTCCTTTCTGCCCTAGTCCATGCTTTATTTTTTGTAGGGTTGATTGTTCATTTGGTTCACTGATGAAAATGCTACCTCTTTTTGTGGACTATGAAGTTGGATGAAGTTAACTAGTAGGTTATTATCCTTTTTCTGCAGGGACAGTACTGAAAGCTGATCTCTTGAGTGTATAGAAGGGAATTAAAGTCAAGCCTGAGGATCCCTGCCACTTTCCTCAAACCATAGATTTTATGGTATGTAATGTGTTGGAGAGTTGGGTGTTGGAGGAGTTAGGTACAAGAGATGGGATAATAGGGAAAAGAGGTCTCTCCACTTCTATACTGTGAGAGTAATGTTTCCTCAACTGCATAACAGGTTCTCCAACTATGTAGCAGTTGTCCCTCCTAAGTAAAACAGTGGGGGGGCGCAATTTTATGAGTGTATACAAATAAGTGTTTTAATATATCTCATATATGATTATAAATATATACTATATACACACATTTTCATGTAATTTATAGCTATATGTTATATACAGTTATATACAACAGTACATGCAAAATAAAAGCAAAGTATAGTAACTACTCAATAAGTTGCTTCAATTTTATGTGTAAATTTATTATATAATGCATGTGTGCATCACACAAACACGTGTATATATAGCAGCTATATAAGTATACCATTCCACATATATGTGTACATTGTATATTCACAGATTCTCAAAAACACCCATAATACAGCAATAATGTCAGAAAATGCAAGTGTTTGTGGCTAAGTGTGCACTAGCATGATTCACGATTGACCATTGGTTTATACTGAAGAGTAAGAATCCAACAATTGATGTTTAAATTTGAGTTCACATTGGCCCCTTGGCTCTCACATCTTTCTCAAACTTTTTTATTATAAAATGTAAAGTAGATTATAGATACCAACCTGGTGGTGCTCCTCTGAAAAGTCAATGAGATTCTATATGAAATGTACCCAACTGTTCTGTACACAGTAGGCACTCGGTAAATGTTAACTTCCCTTCCAAGGCAATGCAATTTTACTCAAAAGTTGAGTAATAGTGACCCCTGAGAGAAGCAACACACTATGCAATTTTCTCTACTTGTGAAATTCAAACTAGTTATCTCTTACTGCCAAGTAATAATGACTGTAATAAACTGAGGAGATTTTCTTTTAAATAAGTGGATGATTTTAGCTGACTCTAGCCATGCAAATAGACCCTAATTAACTAATGCCTTAATCGTTCTTCCTGTTTCTCCTTTATAGACACATTATTTCTTGCCTATGGGTGAATACATTTAATGTACATACATTGAGATATGAATATGTATATATACACAAGTGCATATATATTTTCAGTAGGAGTTCTAGTGAAGAACAGAGATGGTAAATCAATTGGTAATACAAATAACTCTTTTAAGACCTCCATTTGCTTCAGAATACAGCCTGTCATCCTTAGTCTGGCCTTCAATGCCTTCTGATCCTGACTTCAGTGTTTCAAGAGATATTCCATTTTCCTCAAGAAACTGGCTCTTTCACCTTAATTTCCAGGGGACTCATTCCCTGAACCAGTCATTTGACATTTATAACTCAATTTAGTCTCATTTATTAGTATAAGAAACTAGCTACTGAATTTAGCTGAAGAAAATAGTTATCATTATTTTAAAATATATAATTTTCCAGTATAAATACTATAGTTTTATGATAGAAAAATGTGAATTCCTAGCCCATAATATAAAACAAAATGTCCTATAATTCGTTTATAGAGACTTAACCTTTGAAAAAACTACAGATAGATACTGGTTAGAATTCTTCCAAGATTTTTCCATGTTTGAAAAATAAAAGATCAATATATATATTTCATACAATTATGAAAATTAGAATTATACAAGGCATATA